AATTTTGTGCTGATTGAGAAGTGTTCTGAACACGTTTGATACTTTGTGTACTATGTGCATTGTTCATCAAATATCATCGATGTTGTTGCTCTAACTACATTTTCAAAAAAAAAATGAACAGGGTGATCATCATATTACTGAAGAATGGCTGAGCGCATTCGACGAGGGCAGAAGTACAACAGAATTGTGGAAATTGGCGATGCTGCACAGAAAAATCTAGACCAGGTGAAAAGAGAGCGTAATGTGAAATTTTTGCCAATCAAATGCATGAGGGTAGGTAATATGAAGTAGTTATACAAACTCTTTGGATAATAGTTTTTTATTGTATGTTTGTAGATATGTTTTATCCTAAACGCCCGAGTGAACCTGCTCACTTCTGTGTCGTTTGCGGAAAGCAAGGGGAGTATCGCATGAGCGAGCATCTGCTCCGAGCTCATAATGACGTGCTACCTAAAGATTTCATGGAATACAAGGTTGGTTTTATTTTACGGCTTCGATCTTTCTTTGAGTATCAAGTAATGCAAGGTATATTAGCATATCTTTCTAAATGTAGATTGTCGACCAGCTGGGACGTGGGATTACCCAATTCACTGGCGAAGCAAAAACAAACTTATCAATAGTGCGTAGACCAATAACCGATGGAGAATGGGAAATATACAACGATTTCAAACAGCAGATAAAAATGTGTGGCATACCTATTGAAGGATGAGTTATTCGATACTATAATGAGTTTACTTTTGCATTGTTAACATTTTAGCAAATTGCGTATTGCGTAATTGCGTAGCAACGCAAGTATCACTTTAGGGACATCAGGATCGCCGTATAGACCGCTACAGATATTTACGTCGTGACAAAGCCGACATCGAAAGGCAAGAGTTGCAAGAAGGCTTGAAAAATGGTTGATGCTTATGGATTCCAAAAATACACGGGATATGTTATCGCAATTGGCAGTGCAAAGCGAAGTAGCGAAGTTAAAATTGCGATATGAAGGGGAACTCACCATACAAAAAACAAGACAAGACTCCGATTCAGAAGAAGAACTTGTTTTGAGAGACGTGATGGAGCATGAACCATCGAGCCGCTCCAAACCAGCTCGTCATTCTGAAGTAAAATTTATTTCAAGCGAGGAGCTGGAGCCGTCTACTTCACGGCAAACATCCATATAACGACACCACAAAGGCAACTACTGTACACACACTTTGGTGACAAAGAGTTCCGAGATTGAAGAATTTTGCAAAAACTTTAGCGAGAATAAATTACAGTAAATGTGTAACAAATGTATAACTCCATAGGTGGAGATCAAGCGGCGGAAGTATTCAAAGCTACGCCAAAGTTCGAACTCATGTTCTCTTACGAAAAAGATTTACCGGGTTACTATTTAGAAGATTATCATGTTTCGAAAAAACATGAAAAAAGATCCATTAGCTTATCAATTATGCGTATGCGCAAAAAATGATAAGCACAACTGGACTTTTCAGATTGGCAAAGAAAAGCGGCCGAATTCAAGTATTATCGTAAATTAGACCGACAACGTCATCCACTGCTCTTACAATTCGAAGAGTTTATTCACGAAACCTTGGTAGCTATTACAATTTGCCGATGATATAATTGTGCTAGTTGATTGCACTTAAATCAATTATTGCTTGGCCGGGTGCTCCGTCGGGAAACGAAGACAAACCGAAGAACGGTATACGGAATTATCTATCGTACGTGCATAGAGCGTTTTATACTCATAGCTATGAGGGCTCGAGCCAGGTCAGTTGCTGCAGCCAACGAAATTGGAACTCTCCTCATGTTACATTTCCAGGGTTAACGAGACGGTCACACTTTACGACGCTATCTACTCCTGCAAGATTGTGGAGTCAGTTACTTGAAAAAAACTTATGCTTGAACACAAACATTTTCCAAATTTTAGCTCGGAGCAATTAGAGTTTTTCTCCGTGATCGGAGTAATTGCCTTTGGAGTAGGCATTGGATTAGGAAAATCGTGTATGATAGTGTGTCAAGCCTATTGCACACCTTACAGAGGAGGAACAGCAAGAAAATGTACGTGATCTGGCTATTTATTTTCTTGCTACTCTAGCCCAATGCATATTTTCAGAAAATAGCAGAGAATCTTCTAGAACAAATTAACAGATGAGAACAAAGTACACAGTTTGGCAGAGATATTGGAATTGCAGACTAGTATGTAAGTCGAAGTTGAATAAGAAGTTTTATATATTCACGAACATATATCACCAAATGTATGCAGGGTAGAAATCTTTATATAGCCATTACTCTCTAGAAATCGGTTCAACTTCGTGTTCTTCCATGTCAGGACCCAGCTCATTTGGCTGTGGAGAGTGCTCTCACAGAGCTATTCGATCGTGGCAGTGTCTCAAACCGGCTTATCAAACATCGCGGTGAAAACAACCTACTGTGGGCCAACGCAAAGCTTATGGGTGAAAAACGTTTCAACGCGTCGATGTTAAAGAAGAGATACTTTGCTGCTGGCCAAAGCTTAAAAGCCACTGTACTTTCTATGAACAAGCACGTAATGGTAGTAAAGGCAAGTAGTAATCGTCAAACTTATGTGAAAACGAAATATTGAGCGCACATTTTTAGACCTGCTACCCAACTACAAGAAGAAGATCTGGGATATTTGATGCGCGTAGTAGCCCTAGGAAAGTTTAGTGAAGATGGTGCAGTGTGTGCGACTCATGAATTGAGCACATATATCGTGCCATTGTCGATGAAAGTCAGCAATGTTAGTATGCTGGCAGAAGTGGGAGATATCGATGCTGATTGCACCGGAATATCGTCGACACTCCTTTGTAAGACAAGACTACAAAGTGAGTCATGCGCTTTAGACCGTAACAAACGACATGGCTGTACTGTATCAAAACGGAACTCTAGCGATGAAATGGTAAGAGCTTTTAAACAGTAACTTTTGACTTTTTATACGCTATACAAACATCTTAGTTTACACATGTGGAGGAACTGTTGAGAACACAGTGATAGCTACCCGAAGGAAGAGGATGCTTTATAAGAAAACGGATGAAAGCAAATGGATTGAAGTTGCAGTCCTTCAACCTGTCACTGTTGTGGAGATACCAAACGGGGCGCTACTTCAATTAGGGCCGATAGAGGTGACGGCACGGGTTGCAACAGGGAACATGGCTTTAGAACTGAATATTATACTACCGGTAAGTGAAAATCAGTTATGCAGATTGCATTTAATATTAGTGGTTCTAGTCATCAAACTCTTCGTTAGAGCCATATGTTGAAAGCTATGACGGCTACATCTCCAAGCCTCATGGCTACAAGGAATACTTTGCATGGAATTTTTGCATTGATCGATTTTTTGGCTGTTTGATGTTCGGACTATTGTTTTTATTATATTCAATCAACAACGTCAGTTGAGATCGCTCAGGCGATGGACACGAAGCGTCGAATCGCTCAGAAAAGCTCGAAGGGAGCCTATCGAAATTGTTCCCATTCAACCTCGATCGCATAATGAATAAAGATGCATAGTTTTTTAGAAAATAGAGGAAGTAAAAATCTTCCATGTACGACATCATAGTGTTATAGACACTTTCATATATTTCCATCCTCTCTAATCGCTAATTACAAGCGCATTTGTGATTGTTTTTCAACTCGTACTATTCAAAAGTTATAGAACTTGCAGTTTGACGAATTCTTTATTTTTTATTTATTTTATTTTATTTCAATGCACTTGAAAGTGCTCTCTAAATCATTATAGGAGCGGTTAGTAACAAACCACCAAAATACCAGAAAATGGCTGAGCGTATCCGAAGAACGAAAAAATATGACAAAATGTTAGAATTGGCGATGCAGCAAGAGAAAATCTTGAAAGACTGAAGGCAGAACATTTTATCAAATTTTTTCCGGAGCATATGCCTGAAGGTCAGTTGCCTCAATTGTCAAGCATTTTTTAAACGATGTAATAATACATAATTATAGAAATGTTCTATTCAAAACATACGAGCGAAGCCGCGCACTTCTGTGTCGTTTGTGGAAAACACGGAGAATATCGCATGAGTGAACATCTACTAGGAGCACATAGTGACGTTCTTCAAAAGGATTCGATAAATTTCAAGGTTAGTTCATCCACGCTTCATGGCAATAATACGTTCACTACAAAGTACGCACTGATCAGAGCAAGATTTATTTCAAAATGCAGATTGTCGAGCAGCTGGGACGCGGTATCACTCAGTACATGGGTGTAGCACGAATAGATCTGAGGCTTGTACGTAAGCCAGTGACGTACGGAGAATTGTGCATCTACCGCGATCTTACACGGCAGATCAAAAATTTTGGCATACCCATTGTAGGGGTAAGTTGATTTGATGCGTTAATGTGATAGTGTGATTGTGAAGAATAAGCTCCAAGGAATGAAAGAACCACTTGCTCCCTTTTTCCTTCAGTATGGAGGAAAACGCGTTCACCAAGTGAGTGTCCGGCTTATAATGAAACAGTTCTTGTGGGATAGTGGATTTGGAAAATTAAATCTCTTTTGTAACGTGGTACGTTTTTTAAACGATTGCCGCCCTAAAGTCTAAATTATTATGTGCTTTAGTCAAGGCACGCTATAGCAGACTTGCAATACGATGACGCTTTTCAACGAAGGTTGGACAAATTGCTAGGATTAGATAAAGACTGTGCAAACACGGCAGGTACGTGAAAGTTGCGCTTTGCTAGCACAAGCTGCATTGCATTCAGTGATCTATTTTCAATAGGCCACACACAAGAGACGCAGGCAGCAAACTACGTTACACAAAACAAGCAAAGTTGCGCTTATGGATATATAAAGGTGCGCTTATTAGGAGAGGAGGAAGCGGCCAGGAACTTCGAACGAGTGCGGGAAGTGAAAAAGATGTTCAAGCTTGCAAAGTAAACAATTTTATAAGCTCTTCGTTATTATCACACTGTGTTGGTCGAGTCAATTCAGTTTGGGACGACGTAAACACTTAGCCGATCTAGAAGGAGAGGATTTAGAAATGGATGACTACGATGAGATACCAGTCGACAAAAATGTGAGCGAAGAGGGAAGAGGAGAAGAAGATGATGATGACGAAGAGGAAGAGGATGATGGAGACGACGAAAATGAAGGAAATGACGGAAACGACAGTGCCAGGCCTTTTTCTTGTTCTGGTACTTTTCTATACATTTTTATCACACGCACCTGCATAAAGCTTTGCAACAACTATACAAATATATATATGTATTTTTCAAACTTCAGATATGATTCGACGACGATTACAACGTCGAACGGAAGTTGAGGAAACGCCAAGGAAAACGCCCGAGAGTGTCGTCCCTGGTGAAAGCGGGTAAGACACTTGTGTCATGAAAATTCAATTCTACCTCACACTATGCATGTAGATACGACTAAAGGTTCGAGCTTAACTTTGGAGGAGATTGTCATGGAACAAGGTGACATAGGAGCGTTGGAGCCGCAAGCATCGGCGTTGGAGCCACAAGCATCGTCGCCTTTACCACTCAAACAGTTTGAACAACATTCGACAGGCAGCAGTAGCGTTGATGAAACGTCAGTGCAACATATTGACGTTGTCGATGAACAGGAAGCAGTCGAAAAAATGTCGTCCGTAAATCAGCTGTTCCCGCTAGCTCACTTGCCGATCTTGAAAAGCGGTTTGGGCCCTCGGATACGAGCCGTTGGCTGCAGCAGAAGGTGAATATTCCGTTATTCATATATTTTATTCCATTAATAATTTTTGTATGCAAATCCACACAGCTTCGTCTTCATTTCTACAACCGGCAAGGCAAAGCATCCATGTCCAAAGAGAGTGGAATTTTGAGCGGTCTATCTCAGAAGAGGATCTCAGCTTACATGAAAGGCCTGAATTCGACATCGGAGAACTTCTATTTTTGGTGACACAGAAAGCGCGCGCAGAAGGATTGTTGCTGGAAAGTACTCCTGTTGCCGATCCAAGAGTTGCATTTGCAAGGAGCAGGCCTACCATTTTCACTAATAGTGTAAGTATGCACTTTTATTCAGGGTTGGATATAAAATTACATCAATGTATTCAGGATGTGTTTCCGGACCCTGCCATGTTCTTGGTAAAGGTCGCATCTCATTTGGCACATTTGCTACAAATAGCGACGAAAGCTGCTTTTAAGCGCATGGAATCGGTTGTTCTTATTCTGTACCAAAAGCGGAATGATCCACAACCGCTAGTTATCCTGTTAGGCGGACGCCATCTTGAGGAAAGTGGTTATCGTTATCATCGTTACGGTTGTTGCGTAGCCGTCGTAGGCGACGAAATTTACGCAGTGGTATGTTGGATTGCATGCATAGTTTGCGAAGGACTTCTGTATATTATTTACGCTTGTAGGAACATCAGGCGGAAGCCAGAGCGGATGAAATGCCGTTGCACTTGAAACTACTAGCAGGTGGTCCACTTACTCGTCACTTTCCATCGCCAACAATGGAGCCGTGGGATACGATACCGTAACTTAAACTTACACATCAACAAATCATGCATCTCTTGCAAGATGGATAATAAGTACGTGTACCTTGCAACCTCAGTGCTGAATACTTGTTTGTATCATGCAGTCTCCCAGTTTGTATTATATAGCTGTCTCTAGTGTGTCATACGTGTACCAAACTGCATCTCACTTTCATATCTACCTCATCTGATCTCATATCAAGCTTCGGGTTGGCATTGAAATCCTTTACTGCAATATGCGATCAAACAACAAATAATAAACTTTTCAGCACATTTCGTCTCAACTACATGCAGTGAAGCTCGCACTTCATCCAAAAATGCAGCTTATCAAAAGTAGTAACATCGGTCATCGGTGCTGTATCATAAAACTCAAACAGTTATGCAAATTCGCGATGCAGAAACCTTTCGAGGGCCTCACTTACTGAAACTTAGTTCCAAAACTTGTTTCACACTATCAATCCCTCTACGCCCCCTTTCGAACTTTCGGAACGCCTTTCGGAACGGAAAAGTTTCTAAACGCCCGTAATCATTCGTTGTTAAAACCCCCATTTTACTATTAGGTTGGTGCAAAAATAATGAGCGTTTTTATTTGCTTGCTTTAACAAAGCAACCAGACTCAACCCAACAAAGAGTAAGGGGTACTGTTCGATAGAGCAAAGCAAGCTCTACAAGATGGCGCTCATGCCTTTGCGCCATGCTCGATCCACGGAGAGTTCGAACTCAAAATCTAAAGATTTCCAAATGCCCAAAAAGTCGAAAAAAATCAGATCTTCGTCCAAATAATTTCTACGGACCTCCCACTCGCTCATATCAATACTATCGATATCTGATATCCATATGTGCAATTGCCGTATTTTTTCCTTGACTAGAAAACGAGAAAACGAAAATTCCCCTGATTTTCTCAAAGCAATGCTGAGCCGTTTTTGCATATGTAGTTCTATACTACAAGCCTAGGTAAGCATAACTGTAAGTTTTCAGCTCATTCCAAGCGGTAGTTTTTGAAAAATAACGAATTCGGATTTTTTCGTTTCAGTTTCAGTGCTAAAATCGATATTTCTTGAAAAGTACCGCTCGAAATAGGCTGAAAACTTACAGTTATGCTTACCTAGGCTTGTAGTATAGAACTACATATGCAAAAACGGCTCAGCATTGCTTTGAGAAAATCAGGGGAATTTTCGTTTTCTCGTTTTCTAGTCAAGGAAAAAATACGGCAATTGCACATATGGATATCAGATATCGATAGTATTGATATGAGCGAGTGGGAGGTCCGTAGAAATTATTTGGACGAAGATCTGATTTTTTTCGACTTTTTGGGCATTTGGAAATCTTTAGATTTTGAGTTCGAACTCTCCGTGGATCGAGCATGGTGCAAAGGCATGAGTGCCATCTTGTAGAGCTTGCTTTGCTCTATCGAATAGTACCCCTTACTCTTTGTTGGGTTGAGTCTGGTTGCTTTGTTAAAGCAAGCAAATAAAAACGCTCATTATTTTTGCACCAACCTAATATTTTCAAAAAATTCTATTGACCTTGATTAAGACTTAGTACCTCTTGAACCCTTTTACCTTATCTCCCCGACGCTCACCTTTTAATCTAGACCTTCCTAGAAAATCGTAAAATTTTTAGAATCTATGAATATACATGCATTCAAAAGCTCAAAATCCAGTTCACACATTTTTTTAAAAGACCCCCTTGATTGCCCGGATTTCTTAGATTCTGTGTGAAATTCTCTATCAAACGGTGATTATTGCAAGTTTCTAGCATAAATCTGCGCAAAGTTAGAGCTTTTTGAAGGAAATTCTGCGAAAATTTCGAGATTATGGAAGTCTTAAGACAAAAACAAAACAAAAAACAGATCCATAAGGGCACATGGGTGCACTTTTGGACTTGTAAACACGTTCTTGTTCTCTCCCTGTACAGGGAGAGGTTTCCAAAATTTAATCAGACCACAATTGGTGGATTGGGTCAGATCATGAAAGTACCTCAAACTTGGGTAATAAAACCATCGATGGCACCTCTGCCACATAGAGTCCCATCTTTTCTCGGCGTACGCCCGAAACTGCGTAAAAAGAGTCTGAGCGCCTGCTGAAAGTTTGGCCAGCGCTCGCTGAAAGAGATTGTTTGACGAGCGCTTGCAGAAAATTTTGTATTGATGCCCGCTTGCAGAAAACGCAAATACCGCCCGCTGAAGATTTGGCCACGCCCCGAAATCCTGCTGACCGCCTGCAGAAAAGCGCGAGTTTGCGGACCGCCTGCCCCCGGCGATTATCTGAGTGAGTGGGGGTGGCCATCACCACTTGGCACTAGCGCGCATCGTGCCGGCCTTCTAACAGATGTAACCTCCTAGGCTATATATGATGATAGCAATACGCAACACGATATTACTCGGGGCTGCAGCCGAGCTGCAGCCCACCGCATCAATCAATAACCACAGGCTATCAACTACCCACCATTTATCCTTAACACAGTCCCTCACTCAAACACAAGGGATGAAAACAACCAGCCAGCTGTTAAAAACCTAGGGGCCAGCAATATCGGAAACCCCCCGTGGCGGTGTCGCCGGCGTATGCCAGGCGCGAGCGCGCACGGGGTTACCTCGACTGCGGGGTTGCCTGTCCTCCATGGCGTGGATGTAGATGACGCGTGAGTTGGGGAAGGCGCTGTATCGATCGATGGCTTAAGACGAAGTTGGAACCCGACCGCTCACGATGGCGACAGCAGTGAAGACTGACTACGTGACTTATTTGAACGCTGCGCAGGTGAGAGAGGTGAGAGGCGGGACAGCGCGAGGACGGCGTTTTGGGACCCTTCGACGGCGGCCTCCTTTAAAGGAAGTCGCGAATCCGCGACACTCCGGGCAACGAAAAAGAAAAGGTCCGAGGTAGTTCCCGATCTGCCATGTTACCTACGACCCTACGAGTCAAACATACACACACAACCTACGAGTCAAGATCCCTAGGTGGAACGCGGGACCTACTGCCTGTCGTGGTAACAACCGGTTGTCTTCCGAGGTAAGCGTGAAGAGACGTCGGGGCGCTACACTGGATAATGGCGGGCTTCGGCAGTTGTGGAGATGATTGTTGCGTTGAACGGAAGTTGAGGCGACCATTGACTCGACAGTTGCGGCATCGACAGCTTGAACGGCGACCATGGAACTCGGCTTGAACGTGGTATTCGGCTTGACGTTGACGTTGCTCAGATAACCGCCGAGGGCAGGCGGCCATGCGAATTTTGAGCAAGCGCGCACCGGAAAAATAGTTCGTTGATTTTTTGCGGCCCGCTTGCAGAAATTTGGAAGAAAGTTGGCGAAATTAAAGACGAATGCTTGAAGAACAATCGCGGTTTCTTTATGGATTAGCTGCGGCGCAGTGGCCGCATTCTCGCGGACTTTCCGCGAGAATATGCAAAAATTTCGAGGGCCGCACGTTCCTTTGTGGAGGACCGCGCAACCCCCAGGCACTTTCCGCTGAGAGAAAGTACCTCAAACTTGAGTAATTAAACCAACGGTGACACCTCTGCCACACAGAGTCTTACCTGCGCTCGACGTACGCCCGAAAATACCTAAAAAGAGTCCGAGCGCTTGCTGAAAGTTTGGCCAGCGCTCGCTGGAAGATATTATTTGACGAGCGCTCGCAGAAAATTCTGTATTGCTGCCCGCTGGCAGAACGCGGAAGTACCGCCCGCTGAAGGTTTGGCCACGCCCCAAAATTCTGCTGACCGCCTGCAGAAAAACGCGAGTTTGCGGACCGCCTGCCCCCGGCGATTATCTGAGTGACAGCGGCTCGACATTGGTGACGTTGAAGTGGCGACGAAGTGGCAAAAGATGTTAATTTTGCCTAATGGCGCGGTTTTTCACGCCTGGGGATCAATTCAAAGCGAGAGGGAGATTTTACCTCGCATCACAAGACCCCTTGGGCAAGTCAAATGTGAAAGAGGGGACATCCCAAAAACTCAAAAAATAACACGGTTCCCACCGTGGCCCCCAAAAACTCGACAGTTGGGAAGTAGACACTTGGGACGCACGCAAACTGTGGGCTAACCTAAAATAGGGTCAGCAACAAAAAACCGGGCGAGCTTAAGGCCCGCCAAAAACCACAAAACGAAGAAAAGGGAAAAAGAAATAAAAAGGGTATGTATAAAACAGCTAAAGTAACTTAAACATACCCAAAAAGTCGGTAGTTGGGGTTGACGGCAAGTGGGAAACACACAAGTTGGGAACTTCTTCATCTTTCACCCAAAAACTCGATCGTTGGGGCCATCGTAACACTCGCACTCGAAAGTTGGGGGATCCTTATCCGCTGAGAGAAAGTACCCCAAACTTGGGTAATAAAACCATCGATGGCACCTCTGCCACATAGAGTCCCATCTTTTCTCGGCGTACGCCCGAAACTGCGTAAAAAGAGTCTGAGCGCCTGCTGAAAGTTTGGCCAGCGCTCGCTGAAAGAGATTGTTTGACGAGCGCTTGCAGAAAATTTTGTATTGATGCCCGCTTGCAGAAAACGCAAATACCGCCCGCTGAAGATTTGGCCACGCCCCGAAATCCTGCTGACCGCCTGCAGAAAAGCGCGAGTTTGCGGACCGCCTGCCCCCGGCGATTATCTGAGTGAGTGGGGGTGGCCATCACCACTTGGCACTAGCGCGCATCGTGCCGGCCTTCTAACAGATGTAACCTCCTAGGCTATATATGATGATAGCAATACGCAACACGATATTACTCGGGGCTGCAGCCGAGCTGCAGCCCACCGCATCAATCAATAACCACAGGCTATCAACTACCCACCATTTATCCTTAACACAGTCCCTCACTCAAACACAAGGGATGAAAACAACCAGCCAGCTGTTAAAAACCTAGGGGCCAGCAATATCGGAAACCCCCCGTGGCGGTGTCGCCGGCGTATGCCAGGCGCGAGCGCGCACGGGGTTACCTCGACTGCGGGGTTGCCTGTCCTCCATGGCGTGGATGTAGATGACGCGTGAGTTGGGGAAGGCGCTGTATCGATCGATGGCTT